AACCCCAAAACCCCAAAACCCCAAAACCCCAAAACCCCAAAACCCCATAATAAAAAAATATGATTGAAAATATAAATAAGAATTTCAAGAGATGTCTGCTTTCAATACTAATCCCTTTGCTGCCAAGAAAACCACAAAACACAATCAAAGGTAACCTTATTGGCACCTTCAAAATTCCAAATTTCTTTCACTATACTCTAGCTCTCAAATCTCCTAAAATCATCATCCAAATGCTGCTCCTTAATTACCCAGCTTATTTGAAATTTATCATAATTCACCCAATGGCTTTTGAACAGGTTAAAAATTTTCAAAATCTAGCCCAGTTACCTAATTTATTTCCTCTAGCAATTTATCAAATACCTCAAATAACAGGACACCATTCCCTACAAGAGGTAAGCCAGTAAGCCTAAAAATACAGGTAATTTTGAGAAACAGGGCACTTTCCACCAAATCCAGATGCACAGCCCTATGAGAGACCTCATGTTCGAGAAATCTCGAAGTAAGCTCAAAGTTGTCTCACAACTGATCTGGCTCTTTAGGTGCACAAATGTCCGTACAAGAAATGGGGTCAGCTCAAGAGTCTTTATTTGAGCCGGAAAATGAAGGCCCTCTTCCCCCTCCAGCTGAGTTCGTCATGAAACGTGCTGAAATCCAGGACCAGATCAAGAAGAATGAGTCTGAAGGTGAGCTCTGATAAGGACCATTCTAGACAATTTTGAAAAAGAAAACGAAACTATCCTTAATGAAATGAAAGCAATGAGAGAAGAATCAGAACTAATTAAATAATAAATTTAAAGAACGGCCAAAAGCTGCTGGAGAAGGAAAGTAAGAAACTTCATCCTTGATAATCTTTATTAGGAATAAGAAAAGAATGCGTACACAGATAAAGTCCAAGATATCAGCACATTCACCTTCTTCAAGACCTCAAGACCATAACATAGAAAAATCTGAACTCCCTTTAAACTTAGTGCTTGAGTCTAAAACTCAAAATGATCCGTTCAACTGAAGAAAGACCTCTCAAAATGTGAATAAGCCCCAAAAACTATCAAAGCCAAAGAAATCTAAAACCTCACCTCCAAAGTCAAAACCCCAAGTTGAAAATATCGTAAGCCTCCATAATTGATCTCCATTTATGCATAAAATACCTTAATTTCCCAACTAGAGCACTAATAATTAACTTTTACTAATTTTATCCTAGAACTCCACTGTGAAGGAGTCTAAGCCAAAATAAGACTAAAAAGATTCAAAAGAGACCTCAGAAATCTACTAAGAAAGTTGATAAAAAGTCTGAACAGGTTGATAAAGAACGAAGAATGCAGGATGTCGAGGAACAGGAGCCTACAAAAGAGGTCGAAGAGCAACCTAAGGAGCTAGTAGAGGAAGCAGACCAGATCCTTAAGGAGCCTGATCTTGAAGAGCAAGGCAAAACTCAAGATATTGATATTTATGATAGGAATAATGAGAAATAAGATACTGAAACTCTATAAAGACCTTGTTATTGTAAGCAAAGGCTTGATGTATATTTAGGATCAACTTGAAGACCAAAGGAAGAATAGAATTAAAATGGCAGGTAGAAGACTTGTTACAAGCCTTAGTCCACAAAGATGACCTGTTTGTACCCTACAGCCCCCTTGAAACCATTTCACTCCGGAAGCCTTACAGAAAAAGAATGAAGAGTATCAATTAGCTGAGGCTGAGAAACTGAAGCAGAAGCCAAAGCAGATTAAGAAAAAGAATCCTCATAATAAAAGTAAAATGGATATGAAACAGCTCCATGGGAGGCAACAAGTTTTAACAGCTCATAATAAAATGAGAATGTTTTCTAAAGAGGATGATCGAAGCAGAGACCAGCTGTCTAATAATTTCAGAAATACCGGGTTCTTCAGCAATCCTCACACCCCTGGCTCACAAGGAGAGAGGAACAAATACTTTGGAGCTAGGTTGAACAGATCCCATTATCACAATAATCCTGAAAATAGTGACTTCTTCCCAGAAGTTGATGCCTCAGACAACCCAAAAATTAATAATGTTAAAATAAGGATTCAGGGAAAGAAGCAGAAGATAATGTGGGGCAACCTCAATAGTAGTTTACCTAATGCTGCTGATAAATCTAAAAGGAATAAGTCTGACTTCAGTATGCGTGACACTCGAAGACATGCCAAACTCCTTGCAAAGATAGAGAAATACAAAGAAGATAAGATCCTCCAAGAGCTTAAAATGATTGAAGTTGAAAAGATGAAAACTGCCAAAATGATGAGAATTAGAAGAATCAAAGAGCAAAAACGCAAAGCTTATCTTGGTAGTTACTCTGGATCATAGATATAGATGAACAGAAAAATTAAACTCATTGATTATCACAAACGTAGGCTTGAACAAAAAGTAGAGGAAGAGAAGTCTAAAGAAATCGAGAAAAAGAAGGAACAGATGAAACTTCATAAGTCAAGAGTATTATCGCCTCAGTTATGTACTTTAGAGATATTTCTCCATACAAAAATAAGAGATTGATAGAGTACCACCAGCGAAAAGAAGTCACAGAGTCCATCCTCGGAATGAATATACAAGATAGCACCAAGCTTGAGCTCAATAATTTCTCTCCCTTAGCAACACCGAACAATATTGTCCCAATTAATATGAAGAGGTAAGACTGAGAGCATAATGGCTTAGTAATAGCAAAGGATCTCTAAAGAGTTCATCCAGGAAGTCCCCTAATAAGACTTCCTCGCAGGCAAAAATAGAGATTCCAAAACTCCCAATTAAAGAAATTCAGAAGAATGACCCTAACGAGTCTGTTCCCAAGAAGAGTATAGAAGAAGCCAAGGACAATATAGAAAAATAGTGATAATATTTATGACTAAATAGATTTTCAAGAATATTAGTAAACATTGGGGTTTTGGGGTTTTGGGGTTTTGGGGTTTTGGGGTTTTGGGG